TTTATTAGAATTATTTTTTTCATTTAATACCCAAAATCCATAAAACTAAAGTTTAAGATATCACATACAAATTTTGGCACTGATTGGAGTTGGTTAAGGCGTGTCGCACAGGGGTCAAACTTCAGATTACGCTTTGAAAACGTCTTAACCAACTTTAATCGGGACCAAAATTTATATGTAATATCTTCGACTTTGGTAGTGTCGATTTGGGGTATTAGATGAAAAAAAAAAATAATTAATTTTAATTTTATAAGTCAATATAGAGAACCTTGCGACACGCCTTAACCAAAATTTATATGTGATATCTGAGACGCGACGTACAGTATGTCGTGTGGAACGAGCTAGGTGGACAAAATTCATTCATGGACTTCTGGAAAAAGTTATTTTATTAACATAAATGATATCAACAAAGCTCTGACTGAAAAGTTTTTTGTCCGACTCGAAAAAAATGTTGGTAAAATTTCTATACTGTGTGCAAGGCCATTCATAGTGGAGGTGTGTGATTTTGTGTCAATTTTTAATAATGGATCATATTTGTAGTGGTGTTTATTACATTCACTCAACTAAAATAAACTGTGGATGTTATGAGAATGGGTAACTCAAAATATAGAAGGAAAAACTAGAGAGTTGCCACCTCTTTGAAAATTGTAGTTCCAGTAAATTGATAAGATAAAGTAAATATTGCAATATGGCTATCAAAAGAAAGAGATTTAAAAAGGCTTACAGCCGAAAATATTTTTTTTGTTTTTGTTAAAGGTTGCCACCTGTTTGAAAATTTTAATTCTATTTAATTGAAAAGATACATTTAATATTGCAATATGGGTATCAAACTTAAGAGGTTTAGGAAAGTTTACTGCCGAAAAATATTATTGAGAAGGGTTGCCGCCTATTTAAAAAAATTTTATCAAATTAAATCGATAGAAATATTACAATACGGGTATCAAACAGAGCACAAAAATACAGTGAAGCACGACGGGTAGTTGCTAGTAAAAACTAAATATTTAAATATTTTTGACCGGCTAGATCGGCAAAATACCACTATATGCGCTGGCAATTGAGGAAAGCCACTGTTTAGAATGACGTTGTAATTTATTAAAAGAATCGCTATTGTACACAAATGTTTAACTGATTGTAAATAATCGGTTAGCTACAACTTAATACCCTGAGCGGCGTGTTTAGCTTTGTATTGTATGTACTAAGGCAGCCAAACAGGTAATCAAGCAGCAAATGATGCAACCACATACATATCACACACCGTCTGCAAAAGAGTCACAACTCAAAATAATACGTTTGTTAGAAAAAGCGAAAAACTATTTCTTAGCACATGATAATCACATGGGCAAGGGCCACTTTACCTTAGGTTTCCTTAAAAAAAATATAACAAAAATTTGCTCCAGCTTTTGCTGAAAGGTAAATAAAAGCTCTGTGTACATTTTTAGCGCATAATCTCAAAAATGTCAAATTTTGAGTTGTGTCTCTTTTGAAGACAGTGTGTGATGTAGTGTATGTGTTTACCCACGAGTGTGTACACATCCAATTCATCAATATTTCCAATAGAAGTCAAAGTTCCGTAATTATTAATTTACTCAAATAAGATGCCAATCAATTTTCGTTTTACCTCTGTGTGTGGATATAAGAACAATTACTAGAAGCATCGGAAGAATTATGCGAACATACAGATGTGAACAAATATACATAGCAGCTATTGTATTTGTATACAAATATGGACACATGTATGTACATATACGCGTATGTGCTTAGGTATTAAACTATTCATAGCGTATTCTACACACATTACTCACTTTTGCTTAAAGTTAAATAAAACACTCATATATGCTTACGGTCAATCCAACTTTAACGTATGTAGCAAGATTTTGCGCGATGCGCATTACCTTTGCAGAATTTTTACTTTTCATCCTTAGACTGAAAGCCGAAAAAAGGAATAATTTCTAGCTTAGAGTGTAAAGTTGCTAACTAAAGTTGAAAATAGGGGTGTTCTCAGGCAAATGCGTCATGCCACCAACGAAAAAGTTTCTAAAAAATTAAAATAAAAAATCAACAAAAAACCTTAATTTTTTTTTATAAAAAAAAAATTAAAATTGAGTTTGGCTGTTATTCCTTCTTGGCATAGATTTTTTATTTTAATTAAAGAGAGACTTTTATTTTTTTAATATTTTTATTGAGCTTTGTACCACGATTGTTTATTAGG